CCTATTTAAGAAAAGAATAGCTCATTTATAATTCTGGAAAACAACAACTAGTCCTGCCAGACTGTGTATTTTGCCTCTGTCTTAAGATGTGTCTGCTTTTGGAGCATTTGGCCAAAAGCAGGGTCAGCAACAAGACAGCAATGTTGGGGTGGGGGGGAGATGGGGAGGAAAGAATTATTCTATCTTAAGGCAACTCAAAGATTGACAACTAGTGGAAAAGTTTTAGGAGTGAAGTGTCTGACACAGATTCTGCCTCAGATCAATCTCATGTTTTCTGTGATCTCAGTATTTGATGCTTTTTACAAACATACTTTAATATATTCATTGTACATCACACCATATCCTGTCTTCTCTCTGGCTTTGCATAACTATGAAGCCTTGGGCATATCAGATGTATCCAGGGCAGGATGCAGCTGTGACATGTATGGAAGAGCTACGTGATTGTTCTTCTGTTTACCCATTATTTGACTCGCGTAATACCCTGTAGTGGCCACAGCTAATTAAGCTGGAAGGGAGAGTTTAGCTTTCTTTGTTTCTGTCTACTATGTCCTGGGGTAAACTTGACCCTTTGATTTGTGACATTCTCATGACAAAGTTATGCTGTGTTTAGCCATAAAGCTAAAATCTAATTCTGTGTCTTAATGGCCCTGGACTTGGGGTAAAGGGAAGAGACGTATGCAGAAGCACAACCAGAAAAATTCCAGTCAAGATGTGGATCTAGGTTGAATTTCTCACATGCTGTGTATATAATTCCCTTTTGACTTCTTATAAAATCCTAGCCCTGTGTTGTTTCAATGCCCTGTCCCTTTACAAATAGCATGGCTCAAATCTCAGCTTGAAATAATTTAGAACATCAGCCCAGGTCAAGGCATCTGGAACTGCATTTAATTTTCTTTCTGTGCTCCTCTTGATGAGGGACACTGCTGTGTTAATGGAGTTTTGTTCATTTCTTTCAGGCTGCTCTTTCCCCAACTGATATCACGATTAGTGACATCAAAGTCACCTCTTTGTGAACCTTGATGATGACAGGACTAGAGGAGGATCCTTATAACAGGCAGGAGATTAAGCAGCAAGTTAGCAGTACTGGAAGAACAAAGCTCTTATTTTTAACGTATATATCTACAGTCAAAATGACTGAAGAGAAGGGGAGATGAGAAGTAGGTGATACATTAGTAGAATTATTACTCAAAGGGTTTTTGCTCAAAGTTTTGCAGGAGGAATTGGTGATGCTTTCATCTCTCACCTTGGGTATTGTTGGTGCCACGTTATATTCTGGGCATGTTGAAATGTAACACAGTGTAACGAGACGTGATCTGCTGGATAAGGCTTTATGTAGCATGAAAAGGTTCCTCTGATTTCTCTTTTTATTATTTACCTTCCCGGAGAAGGTTATGTGTCATGTGGGCTTTGCAGAGATAAATGGCTAACCTGCACTTTCTGGCAGCTTCCCCAGAACTTGGGGAGGATTGGCCTAAGTGTTGGCCTGAGGACTTTGAAGACTTAAGCTCAGTTCTGGGCCTGGCAGGATGTATACAAGAGAACCTGTGGTTGTGTGTCCTGAAGATAAGTTTAACAGGGCACAGGAGGTAGTACAAGGGCCTCTGAAATAGCACAGACAGAAGGGCATCTGGGCACCAGTGTAAACCGGTAAACTGTGCTGGGTAGGTGGTCTGGTCAGGACTGCAGTTATGGGGGTGTGGGAAGTCAGGAATGAAGTGAAGCAGCTGAACTGAGTGTAGAAATCTTGACTAGTGCCTGTCCGTTGGAGTGCTGAGTATGGCTGGCCAGTGCTGTTCTCCACTATTTCCATTAACTCTAATGTTTATAAGAGCTGTCACAATAATTTCAAGGCAGATAAATAACTGGATAGGCTGTAAAGCATAGGATTTAGTGACTCCTGACTGCCAGAGTTGAATCTTAGTTTCCCAGGTGTTTCAAGGGTAGCAAGTTCTATGGCCATGTTGTTAGCTCTTTGCTCTATTTGCTGCTTCATTAGTCTTCATGCTGGGTGCAGACTGCAGGAGCACATCATTTGGGATTTGGCCATGATGACTTCCGTGAAGGGAACAGGCAGTTAGCAAGCTCTGCAGTTTCCCTGCTGGTACGTACCTTCCTTATGACTCTCTTGTGGATGGGATGTCAGAGCTGCGGATGTGTTTGTCAGGAGGGGAGCTTTTAAAGGAAGCTTTAACTGGAACAGAGAGGTTTCCTTGGCTGGACCTACAGGCTATGGGCCCCTCCATTGTTGGCTACAGGGAAACAATGTAGATGATCTCTATCTGGTTTCTTCCCCAAACCCACTACACACACACACACACACCCCCCATTTCCTGGGTTTTAAGATCTGGAAACTCCAGAAGCTTTTCTGACATTGAATTTAAGTACAACAAGATTGACTTTGATCGGCCTTGAGTGGAATAACAGAGCTCAGGTCTCTGCCAGTCCCATGCTATTTGCAATTAGAATTATGGCAAACTTTCCTGTGTTTCTGAGATGAAAAAGCCCCTGCTTAGAGTTTTTTTTTTTTCTTATTTTGACTGAGGAAAGAACCTCTCAATTAAGATGCTGTGCTCTCTCCCAACATACAGAAGAGATAAGAGTTGTTAAAGCTGTATTCATCAATTGCAAAAGAGAACACGTTTTATTTTGCTTTGTGCTATTTACAGCTGTTGTCCATTAGGAGTCCTCAGGAGCCTCATTCTCAGCTACAACAGCACAGTCCCATAAGTTTAGCTCAGCAATGAGCCTACAAAGCAGCACTAAATCATGGTGATGGGAGAAAGAAGAAAATGTTTGGAAATGTTAAAATGCAGCTGATATCTTTGTGAAAGCTAGTTTTTGCTTGTTGCTATTTTAAAGCATTACTAAGGTAGACTGTAATGCACAACTAGCTGGAGCAGAATAGAAATTGGGTACTCTTAATTTTGGAAAACAAAAATCAGAATGGCTAGTAGTTCTGAAGGAGCTAAAGGGATCTTTTGCAATCCATAAATGCCTTAGGCACTTATCAAAATATACTAACCTCACAGTAAGGTAAGGTGTAAGAATAATAAAAGACTAATATACTGCTGTTGAGAAACAGAATTCCAGTTGCTTTACTGGACCAGAATATGATTGCTCTGTATAAGATCTTTGAGCTGAGAATCCAGTTCACTCTTATAGTGCCCACCAAGTACTTAAGAGGAAGGTGTGGAGGGGGGTTTGTTTCAAAATCTGAGTCTGCATCCCTAAATGATGTAACTAAATTGTACTGATACACATATTGAGCAGAACTGTGCAAAATGTATGGTTAAGGGGAAGAATCAGTGTTTATTCTCTGACTGTGAAATGAGAAATTTCATTGTATTCTCAGCTCAGACACATCCTTTGCTGATTTGGACAAATCCTTAAACAGCTCTTTAATAACATCTATATTTTTCAGCATGGTGTTCTACCTCTTTCACATTAACTGATTAATGATTTCTAAAGTGTTTGGAAATTGACGGACAGATTTGGGAGCTAAGGGCAAAGGCATATAACTTGTTAATTCAGCATTTGTTTACAAGGGCACTCAGCTGATGCCCTTGGTTTTCTTTACTGTCCTATTACCACTCCCAGGCCTGTCATTTGGGGTCCCCCAATTCACACGAGGGAACAGAGCCTGAGCTCTCACGTTGCCTGATAGAGCAGGACAAACCCATCCTGGCATCGCTGTGATGCCCTAACAGATAATGGTTTCCACTAAAGTAAATCTGTCAGGTTGACTTGTGACAATGGCCTGAAACTGTGAATGCTCACAAAAGGATCATTTTAAGGCAGATAATTGCTTTGTCCTTTCCCTTTATTTTCTGCGCCTGGCAGGTGTCTTCCTCTGCCTTCTCCTGTTTCCTTGGCCCATCCGTGGAGTATGCTCAGCACAGATGGGATCTTCAAAGAATCTGCTGTCAAACTTGGTCTTTTCTAAGCATATGTATAGTGAGAGTTTTTGGAGACTTATAACTAGACCAAATGTGGGTGCTTTTTCACAGGAACAGCAAATAACATATCTGATAACAAGGAAACTTTCTCCATTAAGTTGCAAGTCTACTTTGAAACAGGTTCAGTAAAGCTTATCAATGAACTGTTCAGTAAAATTTTCATGTTGTTGTTTTTTTAAAAAAAGAACCCCCTGAACCCTCTCCCCTCCCTTAGATTCCTACAGCTTATGTCTCCAATGCCAAATGTATTGCTAGAAACAGCTGAACTGTTCTAGTTGCAACTTCTGAAAATCAGCTTTGCAAATCTGAATGTCTATATTACATGAAACTGAAAACTGTCTTTCTACCAAAAGTAACAGCCTGTCTTAGCTATTCACGTTATTTCTACCTTTTGTTGGATGGATATGAAACGATGGTTAGTTTTGAGTACTATACCTCTGCAGTTTATCTGGGTAACATATTAATGTATTTTCTTTAATTATATCAGTTTGTCTTGATTAGTTGTGATTCTAACCCTACAACACAGATTACTGTCAGAGATCAGACAGCTTGCATGTCCTTGGAGCCCTTACAGATGGACAGATCTGTTTAGAGATTTAGAAAGTTCCCAACTTTTAATGGTGATATACTGAAAGTGGAGCAGGGACTTAGAAAATTGAATAATTTCTATCTGTCTTTTAAACCTCAGTGACGTCTGACAGGGTCAAACTTTCAAGAATTACCAGAAAGTATAGTGATGCCATTTTAAGAGGCAGTAGTCTATACATGTGAAATGCTCTCTAGTAGTAGACATAATTATCTGCAAGGTATCATAGAATAAACAAGCAAAAGGATAGGGATGAAACTAGCACATGCTGGTTCCGAGTACCACACCAGGGATCAACTGGCAACAGCACCTTCAGGAAATGTCTAGACTATTTCGGGATGTATTTTCCCTCAAATACATCTTGTGTTATTCCAATTAAAAAGGAATAAAACCCACTTATAAAGATATTATTTAAAGACAAGTCCTGAATAGTTTTTTTTTTTTGCTTTGTTTTACAGACAATCGTCCTTATGTGTTTCTAATGGCCCGTGTTCACCCTGGTGAAAGTAATGCCAGTTGGGTAATGAAGGGGACCCTGGAGTTCCTTGTGAGCAGTGACCCCATTGCTGATCTCCTACGGAAATGTTTCATTTTCAAGATTGTCCCCATGCTTAATCCTGATGGAGTCATCAATGGCAAGTGAGTTGTGACATGTACTTCTTGTTTTTTTCTGGATTTGTCTGCAGGCTTTACCTCTGGGCACTTAACAGGTCTCATCTTCAGTGTTTGAGGTTAAGACAAGTCCCTTTGTCTTGTTTTTTATTCATCCTGTTATCAATCCTGTATGGAAAATGTGAATCTGAGATACAGCCCAGTGTGGTGTCTTGCATTTGTCATATGTATGTGATTCTGTACTCTGTGTAGCCATAAGATCTCTCAGATGCCTGAATGGAGTACTATTGGTGCCAGAAAAACTGGATATTTCTTGCTAAAGGGAGATCTATCTCTTCTGCTACATGAGCAGGACAGACTTTACCTGCAAGACAGATATGCTTGGGAATAACTGGCTTTAATTAATGCTTTGTATAACCTGGTGGGGGGGAATATGGGTAAGGATCTATTAATTTTTCACATTTTCATGGAAATATTTCCAGATAGTGAAGCTCCCTCCTCCTCCCACCTCCTTTTCAATCTTCCCTCCCACATGTTTCCTAAGAGATACTGAATCTGAGCTTGGAAAAGAGTGATTCCTTTTTGCATTCTTTGCCTTTACACCATCCCTGCTCACCCACACTAACTTGCCTTCCCTCTCCCTTTACGTGAGTGGAAAACGTACAACTCTGCTTCTAATTTGTTAACATGAAATAACTATTGGCATGCAGAAAGTGAAAGAGGAATTCCCTTTGAAGGCTTGAAGAGTGAACTAAGATAAAGAAGGTTTGTACTTTGCTGTAAAAAATCTGCCGTGTCTCTACAGACAGTGGAGTTTGCTCACTTTGTGGAGTGTTTGTGGAGCGACTGTAGGTTCATAACTGGTAGTCCTGTCTCTGATGGAGGACATGATGATCACCTCACACTGGTAGCTGGGGAGTTGTGTGTTTTGGTGAGAAGGGCTTGCAGGCTTTGGCAACACGTCCCCCTCTGATTGTAACAATGGAAGATGCAACAAATCTTGAAACTGAAAGATGGGGTTAGACAAGCCCTGAAACACATAGCAGAGCATGGAGGAATAACTTCAGTACATTCTCCCATCTGCTTTTGTGTTAGGTTGTGCAGATCGAGTGCTGCAGAAACAGAAAAACAATCCTGAACAACAACTGAGTTTGTTTTGGTTCTAAACTAATTCATTTCAGTTTGGGGTGAGAGGTTCAGCAGAGAGCAACTTGGGCTTTTCTGACAGTCTCTTGTCTGTGACCACCAACAGTCATAGCTCTTGTGCTATGTTCCTCAGGACCTGAGCTATCAGTAGTCTGGGAGGACTGTTCAGTGTAGCTGGATACTAATCCAGAGTATTCGAAGCCTCTGCTGGAACCAAATGTTTCCTTGATCCTTCCAGAGAGCAGAAGCAAAAAAAAAGGAAGGTTGTGGCTCTTTTTCCTTTCACTGCACTTAGTTTCCAGCATATGGAGGACTGGAGGGAATGTCTGACCTTTTTTTTTTCTCCAGCTGTCAGAAGTGAGTGTAGCAGAGGAGAGGCCCTCAGGAGGGAGGACGTGGCTCTTGGTGACACCTGGATGAAGTGTGCTGACTGAGCTCATGTCACATGGGGAGGTGCTTTGCCTTCCCTGGTACAGATGAGCTTAAACTATAGTTAAATCTGGTGATGAGTTAAGAAGTTTGGTAAGCCTTGCATGTGGGATGGGAGCAGGGGAACAAGGATTTGGCCGTGGCTGTTACTGATTGTGAGGCCTGGGGAAGGGAAAGAACTATTCCTTTATGCTTTAATTTAAATACTTTTATCCCATGAAGTCTCCAGTGGCCCAGGTATTCTTGCGTCTTCCTACATGCTTTTTTAGTAGACTTGGATCCTCCTACACTGAAATAAATGCTTCTGTTCTGGGCCTCAGCTTTAGTGGTGGTCTGCTGGAGATAAACATGCACATTGAAGAAGGCAAATATCTTTCAGGCCCTTAATGTCTATATGTGTACATGCAGATTTATTTGACTACTTAAACTTGGACGAGATGAAACACTAAATGATCTAGTAAACACTATTATCTTTCAAGTCAACGTTGAAGGGAAACTGTTTTCTGAGGAATCTGGTCTATAGCCCATCATTAGTCATAGTACTTGTGTCCTGGTTTGGGCTGGAATAGAGTTAATGTTTCTTTTTGGTAACTAGAATAGTGCTGTGTTTGGGATTCAGCATTGGGTTTAGTATAAGAATGATAATAGCACAGTGATGTTTTTGGCTGCTGCTGAGATTTCAAGGACTCTCCGATTCCCCGTGTCCTGCCCGTGTGCAAGTGCACAAGAAGCAGGGAGGGAGCACGGCCAGAGCACCAGACCCAAATTGGCCAATGAAGTATTCGATATCATGTAACATCATGCTCACTATATAGAGGAGGGGTGGTCAGGAAGGGGCTCTCTCACTTATGGGATCTTGGTATTTCAGAATAGCTAGCTGGGAATGGGCTGGCTATTGGTCAGTGGGTGGTGAGCAATCACATTGTGCATTTCCTGTTTATATTTTCTACTACTGTCATTGTTTTCATTTTATTATCATTATTAAACTATTTCTATCTCAACCTATGAATCTCCCTTCGCTCCTCCAGTTTCCTTCCCCATTCCCAGGTGCAGGGTGAGGGTGGTTGAGCGGTTGCATGGTGTTTGGCTGCTGACCAGGCTCAAACCATGACAACTTGTAAGAGGATACTTATGAAATATTTTTTTTACATGTGTAAAATTCATTTTACAATGCATTTCAGTTGCTTGTTTGCCCTGGGATTCACAATCCCTTTTGCTGGATTCCTCACCAGGCATTCCTGAACAGACTGCTAGAGTTCTTGGTGTTCCCTCTGCCAACATCCCAACCTGAACTTCTTTTCTAGTTTTATACAAGTTGCTGTGCTCTCCCTCCTCCCGCTGTGAGGACTGGACATACTGAATGTATCAAATGCGTTATCCATGCCAACAAGTAGTTTGGCTCTGTGATGGACACTGGGAATACCTACATGTGGTAACCAGTGATCTTATCTGTTATTGTGAAACAAGGATTTCTTCTGTTTCCGTGCTGCTGTTGCTTTCATCTTGGTATCTCAGGATCTTTCTTTACTTAGAGTTGGACTTTTTTTTTTTTTTTTTTTGTTGTTGGCAGCTCTTTGAATCTCCTTGCTCTCCCTCCTCCCCAGCCCTCTGTGCTGGGGTATGCATAATGCTTCCCTGCCTGTCACAGAGATGGATGCCAGTGCATGGTTACAAAGGTTTTCTTCCAGCAGCCCAGCTGTGCCCTTTCCCCAGCTGGGCTCCCTGCCTCCGGATCAGCTCAGCGGGAGAGTGATCATCCCAGCAGGGAACCGTGTGATCGCACTTTGGGAGCCTCATGCAGCAAAAAGATGATCAGGGCCTTGGTATTTGCTTTGGTTGATGGGATCTGAAAGTTACATGTAGAGAATGTTCCTCTAGGGCTGCAGTGATGCGATTATGCTCTGGCTGCATGTGGCTGAGCTGAGAAGCGGCTCTCCGCCTTCCCTTTCACTTCAGTCAGTGCTCTAAACATCCGCTCTTGTCTGTCAGCAATGAAGAGACTTGAAGCCCTGCCACTGATGTTAAATGAAGGTAGTGGTGATGCAAGTGTCACCACATACAAATAGAGATCACTACCAAATATTGCAGCTAATTTGACTTCGTTTAATCCAGAGAGAATTGGGGAGCAATTGTTTTGCTGTGTGTGGCTGAGTATTTTGCTCCATCCTGAATAGCACTCGTGTAGGGTTTGACAAGTAATATTCAGCTAATCGGATAATGGCTATATATTTAAAATTTAAAAATAGAAACTGCTTTTCATAAGGTACATCTGGCCTTTGACCGCTGCTGGTGATGGGATGCTGCCTCATCTAGACCTGTTGACTGACCTGGTATAGTTATTTTTATGTTTTAATTTTATTTCTTTTGATATAAGTTAGAAGGAAAAATTAGTCTTAATATCCAAGATCAGTAGTGTAAATTAGTCTAAAGTGATAGTCACATACTTATCAGAAAGCGTTCTTGCAGCCTGACTTTACTTTGCACGAGTTGTTCTGTGAGAATCCATAGTAAGTGCTTGGTCTTATGACTCACTACCTTCACCCATACCTCTAACCACTTTTTAAACCACAGTAAAATAGGAAAGCTTTAAAAGGAATTAATCTCTATTATGTTTTGGAGAATCCATGAAGAAGAGTATCACTTCCATTATGAAAGTGATATAAAGTGCAGCGGATGAGCAAGAGCCCTGTGCTTTGTTCCTGGGTCTGCTACCAGTGGATTATGAGAATTTGGTCATTGTCTCCTCTTTTTGGCTGAGTTTTCTTCCTTAGAGAATAAGATAATGACATACCATAACCTTTGACTGGTTTGAAATGAAGACGAAAATATGTATATTGGGAGCATTTTCTCCTCAATCTACATCTAGTACTGTTTTAACTATTAAGCTTGTTTTTAACTTGTAGAATGTAGAAAATATTGTTCTCAGAAAACTCTAAATTTGAGGAATGGTGCAGAGTAGCCTTTGGTGAAGCTTTCTGGATTGCTTTAAAAAAATTTCATCTGTTCAAGTACACTGAAACTAGATCAATTATGATGACAGTTTTGTAAAATTTGGAAAGCAGGGTTCAGTAAGGGAACTTGTGAAAAGTCTGATCATAGAACCATGAAAGGAGGTTTTTATAAAGAAATGGAACTCTGCTGTCCACACTGTGCCACAAACTCATTATCACACATTTGAGCATTGAGTGGTGTGTGTGCTCATGCACTCCTGGGCAGTTGCACTCTGACTTGCAATGTGTTCATGTGCCGTTTCCCACGTGCCTGCTGTACACCCCTCTGTCAGCAGCCGGTTCCTGCAGCCGTTGCCCAGATTCTGCTCAGACCTGCCGACCATCTACACACACCTGGCACTCACATGTCTGCGCTCAGAGTCACAACATGGTAGTCAACATTTTGTGGTTTTGGCTGGACTTCTCCAGACACTGCAGTTCTAGATAAATATTGCTATTTAT